ATTATCATGATAATGATAACAGCAATAGTAACAGCAGTTAATCATCAGTGATAACATTAATAATAATAAAAACAATGAAGATGAGGATGACAATGTTTGCGATGATAACGATAATGATAATCATAATGATAATAATTACGATGATGATAACAGTAATATTGATAATGATAACAATAGTAATCATAACAATGGTAATGATAATGATGGTAATAGTAATAATATTGAGAACAATAATAATAATAATAATAATAATAATAATAATAATATAATAATAATAAAAATAATGATGGTAATAATAATAATGATGATAACAGTAATGATAATGAAAACGATGATACTGATACTCATAAGGATAACAACAACAATAATAAATGATAATAATAATTATGAAGAAAATAATGATAATGATGATAATGATACTAATACTAATGATAATGATAATAATAACAGTAATACTAACAATAATATAATAATAATGACAACAATAATTATGATATTAATGATAATGATGATAACGATAATAAGAGTAATAGTGATAATGATAATGATGGTAATGATACAAATAATGATAATAATAACGATGGTAATGATAATAATGATACTAATAGTAAGATAATAATGATGATGATGATGATAATAATGTTGATAACAATAACAATATCAGTTATGATAATGATAGTACTAATAACAATATAATGATAATGTTATAACAATAATTATGATAATGATAATAAGAATGATAATGATCATGATTATAATGACAACAATAATGATGATAATAAGAATGATGATAATGATGATAATAATGATAATAATTATGATAACAATAACGATTATAATAGTAATAATAAGGATTGATAATGATACATACAATAATGATAATGATGACAATAATAATGATAAATGATAAATAATAATGATAATAATGATGATGATAATGACAATAATAATAATGATAATAATGATAATAATAAGATAAATAAAAATAGTAACAATAATAATAATAACGGTAGCAATGATAGCAATAATGATGATAATGATGATAATAATGATAATGATAATTTAAAAAATATTGATGATGATAATCATAATGATAAGAACAATTAAAACTGTAATAGTAATGAAGATTATATGACAAATAATAGCAACGTGAATGATGGTGATATTGATAATAATAATAATCATTGCAATAAGAATAGTAATGATATTAATGATGATAATAATTATGAATAATAATAAAATAACAATCATAATAGCAATAATGATGATGATGATAATAATGATAATAATGAATAACAACAACAATAGTAATAATAATAATGGTAATAATAATAATATTAATAATAATGATAATAATGAATAATAATGATAAATGATATAATGATAATAATGATAATGATAATGATAATGATAATAATAATAATGATAAAAACAAAAATAATGATAATGATAATAATGATAATAATAATAATAGTAATAATAATGATCCTTATGATAATGATAATTATAATAATGATGATAATTGTAAAGATAATAATGATGATAATTATACTAATAACGATAATGACAACAATAATAATGATAATCATCATAATGATAAATAATGATAATGATAATTTCAACATCATCTATACCATTAATGATCATGATAATAATAATGATCACAAAAAAAAATCTATTCAATCTTAGGCGAGACAATATAAAATATTCACTCCATAAATTATTCACCCACAATAAACACAAAACATTGAAATCCCGTCTTAACCCTTGCGCTTATGAATTGCTGTTTGCTCATAAGGTTCTGACGCCTCGTTGTGTACCAGCTGTCTGCCTCTCGCTCTTGGGAGAAATATTGTCACTGGCCAGACTAATAATAAATAAATCATTATGATTATTATCATTATTATTATCATTATTGCAATTATTATAGTAATTATTATTGTTATTTTCATCATTAGAGGGGAGAAGAATAGGGAGAGAGGGAGAGGGAGAGGTAGAGAGAGGGAGAGAGGGGATAGGGAGAGAGGGAGTAGGAGAGAGGGAGATAGGGAGAGAGGGAGAATAGGAAGAGAGGGAGAATAGGGAGAGAGGAAGAATAGGGAGAGAGGGAGAAAAGGGAGAAGGAGAGAGGGAGAATAGGGAGAGAGGGAGAATAGGGAGAGAGGAAAATATATATTATATATATATATATATATATATATATATATATATATATATATATATATATATATATATAATATATATATATATATATATATATATATATATATATAGAGAGAG